CTGGTCCAAACGTCCCTGGGAGAACCTGGTGTTTCTGTGACTGGACCGAACCAAACCCGACCAGACCGCCTCTCAAACTGGGTCTGGTTCTGGTTTTTATTAGAATAACTCTGATTGTATTCAGAACCCGGTCCAAACTCCAGGTGAATGTGTGATGGACAGTCAGGTGTCATCTGGACCAGAACCAGGTCCATTCTTCAGTGTGTGATTAGCAGATCTGATGATATCAATTGATTTAGACTGAGGCTCCTTCCTGCAGCTGTTGGTACCAAAGAGCTTATTGATCATGTGGACCGGGTCGTCCAATCGATCAGTGTGAATGTGTCTCTGCTTCTCCTTCCTGTCTGCAGACCAAACTGTGGAACAATCACCTGTAATGTGCCTTAAACTGGGTCAGAACCAGAATGTTGATAAAAAAATCAAAGTGAATCCTGAGCGTTTCTCGTTCTTCAGCAGCGGCCTGGTCCTTCCTAAAGAGGCCAGCAGGGGGTGACAGTCACAGCAACTGGACCGGTTCTGGGGTCAAATGAGGCTCTGGGTGTGGAGGCCCAGAACTGATGAAATTAAAAAATATAAGAAAAACCTGAATAACAATATTTAAAATTTGTAAATATATTTTAAAAAGGATTTTCACTTTTTCATAATTTATTTTTTCAGGTTATTTCAATAACTAATATTAAACACAATATAAACTTTATTTTTTTAAATGGTTTTCTGCCATTTTTTGTCTCCTGTTACCTTATGCCTTATTATGCAAATGAGGGGCGGGGCTTGAGGGCATCACCTTTTGCATATTGCTTGGTTTAGTGCTACATATTGAGAATCAAAACTGACATAATTAAAAACAAAAGCCGTTAATAAAGGCACTTAAAATGCACCAATTCCAAAGAGGAACTTTAACTTGTTTTATAAATTAGCTCCAGGACATTTAGTAAATAGAAGTTTTGCTATAAACATTTTCATTGTTGCTTTTACTCAGATTTATTTTATTCTGTTTTCTCAAGTCTTTATTTTGATGCTTTTTTCATTTTCTGTTTCTGACAAAAAAGCAAAACTGTAGAAAAACTGAGTGCATTAAAATGCACCGATCTATTAATTTGGATGTTTATTTCTGATTTTTATTTTTAAACGTCAGTTTTGGTGCCGGTTCTGTTGGTCCAGAACTGGACCCGTTTCCCCTGCTGGTGCAGTCGGGTCTGGTTCTGAGCGGTTTCCAGAACCGGGTCAACATCTTAGCAGCTTATTTTCATTATTAATTTTATCTGTTGGGGTCGAGAAATTAACCATTAAAGTTTACAGATAAAAATAATTTTATTTGAAATATTCACCAATTTACAAACAAACCAGCCTGGGCTCCTACAGCTGCTGGTCTCCGTGGTAACGGGTCATGTGACCAGAACCGTGTTGTGGACCGGCTCAGATCCGAACTGGGTTCCTGCTAGAACTTTAGCTGCAGGTGTTTTTCTCTGTCGCCATAGAGACGAGTCACATGCTTCTGATCCAAACACGATGTGGGTCGGCTCTTCCTTTGATCAAAGAACCCGATCTGAACAGAACCTATCAGAACCAGTAAGTGGCCCAGCAGGGCTGTGATTGGCTGCCGCTCTGAGCCAATCAGAACGCCCCTTGCTGGAGGCGCCGGAACAGCTGCTGGCGCTGCGGCGCCGTCATGGCGTCGCAGCTCTGCAGCAGGTTGGCCAGAACCAGAGTCTGCTGGACGGCGCCGGCCCGGACCCAGACCCGGCCGTTCATCCCCACCGCCAGCTCGCAGGGGAACAGCTGCTCCAGGTCGGCCCGGAGGTCGCTGCGGGGCGCCAGGAGCCTGCGGAGAGCAGGACGTGAGTCAGCGGAACCAGAACCAGAACGTACAGCTCCTTAAGACTGCTGAGTGACCCGTCAGAACCGGGCCGGGTTCTCAGGTGAGTTACCTTCGGACCAGGCCCAGAGACACCTTGATGAGCAGCCCTCCGGTTCCGAACACACCCATCCCGTTGGCCCGACCCGACCCGTCGATGCAGACCAGCTCCGGTTCCATGTCCTTATTGGCCACGACCAACTGGGCCAACAGCAGATCGCCCACCTGGCAGGGGAGAGAGAGGGAGGTTCAGTCCACCGGACCGGATCCGGCTCCGTTTGTTTCTTTAGTAACAGTTAGAAGGTAAGGTAGTTTTGTTTATACAGCACATTTTCAGCAACAAGGCAATTCAAAGTGCTTTACATGGAAATACAAACAAAATAGAAACCACCAGCAGGGGGCGACAGAGAGGAAAACTCCCCGGTACAGAACCTTCGACCTTTGACCTGGACGTCTCACCTGGACGTTGGGTCTGTTCCTCTTGGTGGCGCCTTCAAAGGCCAGGTAGGACAGAGACGCCGCCTCACTTCCTCCTATGTCCACCTTGAAGACATCGCCGGACTTTGCCGTGACGACGCCGATCACCGTCTCTCCTTTGGCTGGGACATACTGAGGACAGAACGGGGACAGAGTGAGTATGTCCTCATTCTGTCAAACAGGGCGAGTTAACACTATCCCAACTTAGTAAGACAGCTGTGTCCATCACCCTGGGTGGGGTCAAAGGTCATCTCCAGACCTTCTGAGAGAAATATGACCTTTCAAGGTAAGGTAAAGGTAAGGTAATTTTATTTATATAGCACATTTTCAGCAACAAGGCAATTCAAAGTGCTTTACATGAATTAAAAGGAAATACAAAGAAAATAAATGAAAGGAAAGAAAGAAATAAGAAGATAATCTAATGTTGATCTAAAGTATGTAAACTAGGAGCTCCTGTTCAGGGTTGCTAAGTTTCCTCTGTAAAAAAAAAAGAAAAAAAAGATTGAAATTGAAATGACAGTAACATTTTTTGAAATTAAAGATTAAAAATTTTCTTGATATTAAAATAAAGATATTAAGACAATAAAAACGAAATTATGATTAAGGCACAATATATTTAAAAATGAAACTAAAACCTTAAAAAATATATTTTAAAAATTCATTTAAAAAATCAGTACATGCTCAAATTAAATCAAATAATTAATTACAATTAAAGAAAATGATTTAAAAAAAAAACAGAATTCTGAGAGCAAAGTTCCGTCAGGTGAATTTCTTCACTTTTATTTCAATAACAGAGAAACTCGGTTTCCGAATTAATTATTCCCAGCTGATTATGCTGGGAATAATTAGAACCAGAAAAAGAAAACTATTTGATCCGTTCCAGAAACTGAGACCAAATTGCTCAGTTTCAATCAGAACTCTGTTTTATTTTTATCTGATTTTACCTTCAAAATTATTTATTTCTTTAGGATAAAGTCTCACAATAACCCCGAAAAGTTTCTGTACTTCTGATGAGTCAGGACAATAATTCGGCTGTAGGTTCGGAGCCGAGTGGACTCACCCTCCGTTGCTGGGACTCGATCCAGAACTTGTTAGGCTCCTTGTGTCTCAGCACGCCGCTCCGGCTCACCAGCAGACGGTCGCCGCTCCGCCGCAGCCCCGGCCCGGCCACCAGCCGCTCTGACTTCCCGCTGTCCGTCAGAGGGAGGGTGTCTTGGGGGCCGCAGCAGAACTCATCTCCGGGGAGCAGAATCTCCCCGACCCGCTCCTTCAGAACCGAGAACATCCTCACAGAGCTCTGTGTAGCTTGGCAGGAAATGTCACGGAAACCCGAAGAGCAGCCGCAGCGCCCTCTACCGCTCCGGAGGATCATGACTAAGCATGCGTAGCTGATATTATTCAGCTCAGGAATCAAAACATGTCGTTTCGAGATGATTAAAATGGGGGAAAAAAGTAAATAACCTACAATAGCGCAGTTGTGACTGTTTAAACAACTGTAATCAATTAAGATAAAAAAAAAAAAGAAAAACGAAATATATATGCAAGAGCGCCCCCTTATGTTCCTGACTGCAATGGTACCATTTCCAAATATGGTATAGGTGTGACGTCAGGGTGATCCCGCCCATAGACATAAGAGTAGACCCCGCATTGGCTGCTCCGGGACAGGAAATATGGCGGCCATCTTGAAGCGGTCGTCCCTCCCATAGACATAATATAAGGATAGACCCTCATGCACCGCCCTCGCCTATTGTCGCTGACGAGATTTAGGGCGGCCATCTTGGAGCGGTACTCCACTCCACTCAGCGTTATGTGTTTAGCAGCACAATGACGTATCAGCGCATTTAATGATCATAACACACTTTATTGTTACTGGAAACCATATTCAAACATCTATCAAAGCTACATTTATAAACAATTGTATTTTTTAAGTATGTTTTTAATACATAGTTCATCAAATAATTTATTAAATAAATTATGAACGACTGTGTGCTTTGTAATATGCTCTTCATACATCGATATCAGAATATTCCATTCCTATTCTATTGTTATAGCCACTAAGCATATTTAAATATGATGAACTATGTATTAAAAACATACTTAAAAAATACAATTGTTTATAAATGTAGCTTTGATAGATGGTTGAATATGGTTTCCAATAACAAAAAGTGTGTTATGATCATTAAATGCGCTGATACGTCATTGTGCTGCTAAACACAGAAGGCTGCTCCAAGATGGCCGCCCTAAATCTCGTCAGCGACAATAGGCGAGAGCGGTCCATGAGGGTCTATCCTTATATTATGTCTATGGCCCCCCACCTTCCTGTTTTCAGCATGAATGAGTCAGGACGAATTGGTTCAGCTACAACTCCATTCATGTAATCATCAAACAATATCAACTGTAATATTTTACTGTTTTTACATTAATTAATTTGAATCCTAAAGTTTAATACAAAACATGGAAAATGAAGAAGTTATTCTTCCCAAACTTGACCAAAACTCGCTCTGACATGTTTACTGGTGAGGAAACCAAAGACTCTGTAGGGCCCCCTGCTGGCCTGGAGGCCTAAGGCCGGCTGTGATCGCCAGCACTCACCTTAATGTTGTTATATCAGTTATAATTATAATTATCATAACCAGGACTCTGTTCAGGTTCAGGGATGAAGAACTGATGAAGAGGCGCATCACTCTAGGCTTTATTTTACAAATGTGAGTCCGGTTCCGGGTCCGGACTGCGACCTGCCGACATGCTGCAGGACGACACACTTTACAGAAGATCTGAGTTGGATTTCACAGAATCAAACTGGTTCTACAGCAAACAGGAAGCAGGAAGTGGTTCTGCTGGAAGGCCCGCCCCTCACTGGCGCCGGTTCATGGTTCTGCTGGAGCGGCTCATCAGAACCCGCTCAAACAAGTCGTCTGTGGAGACAAACACAGTCAGGACCAGAACCAGTACCGGGTCCATTAGCTGGAGAACCGTCTCTCACCGTTCCTGAACCTCTGGGAGTCGACCTGCAACAGAGGGCAAAGGTCAGACTGGAACCATCAACCGGTTTACTGGTTGGTTACTGGTTTCTTACTGGAGTTGCAGACGCCGGTCCGTCCGCCTGCTCCCAGTCCGCCTTCGGAGCTGCGACAGAAACAGCCGGGTCAGAACCTCAGGAGGGGGCGGCGCTTACCCTGAGGAGGGGCGGGGCTTACCCAGAGGCCTGATGAAGGCGTTGACGGCGTGGACGACTCCATTGGTGGCCATCAGGTCGGCGTCGGCCACAGGAACCTTGTTGACGTAGACGGTGAAGTTCCTCTGCAACAGAGACACGGTCAGCGCAGCCACAGGTCGCCCAGCGGCCAATCAGGCGGCGGCGGCACTGACCACGCCCAGCTCCAGCTTGTCGCCCTGCAGCGGCGCCAGGCGGGTGTGGGAGCTGACCCCCCCGCTCACCAGCAGCCCCTGCCCCAGGTGAAGCCGCAAGATGGCCGCCAGCTGATCGGCGTTTCCTGCAGAGACAGAGGCTGATTGGCTGCTGCAGCCTGGCCACTTCCTGGTTGCGCCGGGCCTAATGATCTGTCTCCATGGCAACCATGAGGCCTCCTGATTATAGTGTCAGGAATAAACATGGAGCAGCAGGAGCGCCCCCTGCAGAGAACTCGTCTGGTTCATCACCTTTTACTGTCCAATAATCAATCAGGTAATCAATAACAGATGTTTAGCTTTTCTCAAATGATCGACATGTTTTTGACTTTCAGGAAATAAAATATTTAATAAGGAATTTTATCTTTTTATGAATTTATAAAATTGTATAAAAAACTTCAGGATGTGCCAATCGATCAATTTTTTTCCTGACCCAAAAAGGTTCTGATTCTGGATCAGAACCACTGAACAAACCCGGTTCTGGACCAGAACCTGGGTCAGAACCTCCACACTCACTGAGCAGCTGGCTGAGCTCGGCCGGCGGCAGGGCCCTGAACGCCTCGTTGGTGGGAGCGAAGAAGGTGAGCGCCCCCTGCTGGTGGAGCAGCTCCGTCATGCCGGCCGTCTGGATGGCGCCGACCAGCTGGCTGGAAGAGGACGCACCGGGTCAGACCGGGTCAGAACCGGGGCGACCCGTTGTCTGACGCTCACCTGAAGCGCTCGTCGGCCTTCAGGACGTCCATCAGCGTCCCGGTGGGTGGAGCCAGAACCTTGTCCAGTGTAAACATGGTGGCGAAGCGGCCGGTTCTGTCATGAGCCGCGATGCAGGCGTTCTCGATGCAGAGGTTCTGGAGAGGATGGACCATCAGAACCAGAACATTCATGGTTCAGGTTTTATGTATTAACAAGATTTAAATGCGACATTTTGTTTCTCGTTTTCACGATAAACTTTCAGGTTATCTCCATCAGGTTCTCCAGCTGACGAGGCCGTGACCTCTGACCCCGTTCTTACGTTCCTGTAGACGAAGACGCGCAGCGTGAGGCCGCCCAGCGTCTGCAGCTGCTGGCCGTGGTACAGCGCCTTGGAGGACAGCTGCTGCTTCAGCAGGTGGTTCTTCATCAGCGCCCGGAGGTCAGGGGTCATCGTCACGCTTTCTGTTGGACAAGGCAGCAGGAAGTGGTCACCTCACCTGTTCACCAGGTGACCTGGTCAGCCTCCAGCTGCCTAGTTACCTTTGAAGGCATCGTTTAGCGGCGCTAGCATGGTTAGCGCCTCCGAGCCCGTCAGGTGGGACGACAGGCCGGCGTCCACAAACAGCCTGGTCGCCGTGGAAACGGACGAGTCCTCCGCCAGCTCCAGCAGAGTTTTAGCTGCAGGGTAAGCAGGGCTTCAGAACCGGACCAGAACCAGACCAGAACCCTGACAGTTCAACTTTGATTGGTTATAAAATGATGAATATTTCATCTCAACTGTTCCTGTTATAATTTAACAACAAAAAGTTTCCATCTGCATCTGATCAACCAATGAAATCCTCCTTGGGGCCAGAAGTGGCCCCCGAGCCTCAGTTTGGGCCCCCTGTCCTGAGTGAGTGTGTTCAAGAGCTGAGCAGCTGGTCCAGAACCAGAACCGGTACCTGAGTCTGGGATGAGCAGCTGGCTGATGTAGTGGATGACGCCGTTGGTTCCCAGCTGGTCCTTCTTGGTGACGATGGCGTTCCCGTTCAGGGTCATCTGGTCGCCGTCGCAGCCGACCTCCAGCGCCGCGCCCTGCAGCGTCTCCACGGACGTTCCCGACACGATGGACTCGGCGCACTGCAGCTGCTTCAGGATGTGGTAGTTCAGCAGGTCTGGAGGTCAGCGAGAGGTCAGCAGCGCCCGGAGACACTGGGTTACCATCAGGCACAGAGACGGACACCTTTCAGAGCTACGGGGTCTCCCAGGATGCGGTTCAGGGTCTCCCGAGGAATCTTGGCGAAGGCGTCGTTGGTGGGAGCGAAGACGGTGTACTGACCCGGACTCTCCAGCAGGGTGCTCAGCCCCGCAGCTGCGAACGCCGCCTGCAAGCGTAAAGACAGGAAGTGATGTCAGAATGCATGTTCATCATCACACCAGGAATTACCTGAAGGCTTTACTCACGCGGAGCGTCTCCAGATCGTCGTCAACGTCAACGATGGACTGCATGTCGCTGGACACGGCGGTGATGACGCGGTCGATGACATGGACGATGCCGTTAGTGGCATGCTGGTCGGGTTTGATGAGGCGGGCACAGTTCACCGTCACGATCTGAGAGACGACAACCTGCCGGTCAGATCCACCGCAGACGGACCGCTACAGAGGAACCGTCTGCTGCAGCCGCTCAGACAGGAAGTGACATCATCACGCAGAGCGCTGTGACTGTCAGAAAACATCACAGCACTAACCCGCTGAGGGAAAACATCTGATAACCCACGAACAGCAGAGCCAAGGATCTTTTAGCACTTTTGCTAGTTAGCGATTTAGCGCACTTAGCTTCCATTAAGCTAATTTTTACAGCACTAATTTACTTGGCTGCTCTGTAAACTTTCAGCTGAATAAAGTTCAGCGTCTGTGTGGAAGTTTTCTTTACAATTCTTCAAGTAGTTAAGATGTTTATATTCATGCTCTTATTCTGAAGTGTTTTTACGCAGCTGTTCCATTTCCTGTCCTCACTAAAACAAGAAATATGCAGGGATAAAATAAAACAGGGAGAAAAAAAGAAATCAAACATGAACACAATATGATCGTTTAACTAAACTGCAGCCTGAGGGATGTAGCGTTTAAAGGTCAGATATAATTTAAAGGTTTTAGCTAAACTTGACTTAAGATATTTATGTATTTATTGAGGATAGTAAAATCTGGAACATAACGTTCTGTGTGATTACGGTCACAATTTTCCATTCCAAATAAAACAGCTTTGATCTGTTCAAGTAATTTTCACATTTTTTGCAGTGCAGCAAATGTTTTTCATTGCTTCGTGTTTACTGGAGCCCTGCTGTGGTTAGCAAAATTCAACAGCTATGAAACTGAAACCAGGACAGAAAGTTCTGATCCAGAATCACTTCCTGAAGCGCCAACCAGAGAGGAGTGGTGCAAGTGTAACATAGTTAATATTGTATAGAATTCCACTTGTCATTACTTCCCAGTTTGGGTTCATGTGTAAAGGGTGAAACAGCACCCCCTCCTGGTGGTTGGCAGGGTTACATATAGTGAACACAAACATCTCGTTGCCAGTTCATGAGAGATGGGCGCGAGGCAGGTTCACTGAGTTTAAGGCTCCAGTAAAATGCTATGTTAGCTTGTTGCTAACATGAAATGCTGTCCCTCGTAAGGTGATGAACCCGCTGTGATCAGTCCATATTCTGTTTCGCACAGATAAACGACGTTTCATCTCATCCTGTCTCCTGGCCCTTATTCACACAACGCAGAACTGATTTATGCTGATCGATCAGAATTATCGAGGTTACACAATGACACGTTTCAGTCTGTAGAGGGCGATATACTCTGCCACAGAACATGTCATTGACTCATGACGGATATCAACGTGGTTGAAATTAGTAGTTTAGCATTAGCTTCTGCTAAATCCCATGTTAGTGCTAATATTTGACTCATGCTTTAGCGTTAGCAGAACTACCGTTTGTGGTTAGTGCTTTAGCGTTAGCGCTGCTAGCTTCTTAGCTGTGTAGCTGCATCCAGAGAGCTGATCTTGCTCACCCCGTTGCTGTAGTGGTGGATGTGGACGTGCGAGTCCTGGTACATGGAGGAGAAGGACGATCCGTGCTTCAGCTCCTCGGAGGTCAGCCGGCGGTTCACCATGTGGTAGTGCAGCGCGTTCAGCAGCTCGATGTTCACATTGCTCACCAGAGCATCCAGGATCTCCTGCAACGGGACAACAGAGTGAGCGCGGGCGGCGTTGACCCCCGGCGACCCCGTGAGGCCCATACTGACCGCGGGCAGGGCGGCCCACGCCTCGTTGCTGGGAGCGAAGAAGGTGAAGCTGCCCGGCCCCTCCACCTCCTCCCTCAGCCGGGCTCGGTCCGAGTACATCTGGGTGGTGGAGGCGCCGACCGCGCCCAGAGTGCTGTAGATGTTCACCAGAGGCAGCGCTGCAACAGAACGCCGTCAGAACTTCACCGTGCTGCAGAACACAGGTGAGGTCAGAGGTCACATGACGTACCGGCAGGGCAGCCCTTCTCTCCAGGAAGCTTCTCGTAACCTGGACAGCATTCGTAGGTGATGACGCTGCGGAGGAGACGGAGCAACAGAAATCTATGGAGCCCTCCAGGTGACATGGGGACATTTTTCTTTTGCGTTCCCTTCCAATATGCTTACTGCAGTATTTGCTGATCTATTTGTATACAGTCACGAATGTCAATTTAACATTTTAAATATGTATATTTAAAGAGCCAAAATGGTGGTAGAGGGCCGCACTGGGTTAACTCGGGGAATCTCATCTGTCCGAGTGTCAATCATCTCCAGGCCACTTTTTTCTTCTGTCATGATTATCGATTTATTCCATTTTGATTATCATGCTTCAAACTTTACAAGGACACAGACCAACCAGGCCAAACTATGCCGCTTCCTCAGACACACAGAGCCAGTCACCTTCCATTCATACCTGGTGACGTCACATCGACACACCCAGGTGTCAAAGCCACGTGCTCCTAAAATAATTACTGGTTTCATTCATATGGCTCTTGCAGAGCCTCAGTGAAAATGTGTCTATTATTATTAACTCTCTGGTGCAAAAAAAAGTCGATTATTGTCTGCATGTTTATGTCTGTTAAGGTGGAGATGAAACCACATGGAAACGGCCCTTCAAACCATTCAGACATGAACACAATCAGATGACTGATTGCCCCGCGATAATAACTCAGAAACAGTCCAAATCGTTTGGATGTATTTTATTTCTTTCCTTCTTACGGAAAGTTTCTGTTTATATCAGGTTTGTTGTGCCTTTCTATACTAAAGAAAAAGTTATAAAACGTCTGATATTTCACAACGAGATATTAACATACATGGAAAAACTTTACATAACATTGTATTAAAGCAGAAAGTACGGCGGCCCGTAAGAAAGGCTTACAGGATTCAGTTATGCTGCATGAACTGATCAGTAGATTATTGCGAGGGAACACAAAAGAAAAATAATCCCCACATTCCCTGGAGGATCCGTAGCAATCACGTGAGGTTCAATGTTCAATCCTGGGATCCCTCCTGTCCAACAGATCAGTTACCATGGCAACATAGATGATGCACAGCTCTACATCACTGTGTCACCAGATGACCTGACCTTTGACCCATCTAATCATTGAACAGATCAACCTGTGGGGTGCCAAAACTTTCTGAACATGAACTGAAGTAATAGTAATCGAGTCGCCTATCCAACTTATTCCTGGGAGGTTGACTGGGGAAACGATTATGAGTTTTACTTCCAACTCCCACCGGAAGTAGCGGTATTTCTATGTAATGGACTCCTTAGACATAAGAGTAGACCCCGCATTGGCCGCTCCGGCGCAGGAAATACGGCGGCCATCTTGGAGCGGTATACCCTCCTACTTTACTCAACCAAAACAGCAGAAGATGCCTCAGCACTGAGGATATTGTTGTTCTGATCGATGTATTATTGATGTGAGGGCTCCACAGACAACATTTCACAAGTAAGATGGACATATTATTGTGTATATATTGTGATTAGAATATTACTTTACTGTATTTATGTCCACCGGCGAGATACCAGCTAATATTAGCTACAGTGCTTGGTGTAATTGTCATGAGGTGGCAACTTGTGAAGGTGAGAATGAACCAGGAGTCCAGGTTATGAAGAAAGTGATGATGAATTTAATGATGAAAGTGTCTCAAACAGTCCAGATCAGGCAACACGGCAGAGACACAGCTAAATACTGACAAAGACTGAACATGGAGCAAAGTAGTCTCAGGACTATACAGTTCGACTGAGAACTGCTGACAACCGACAAGCTACATACAAGGAGGATCCGACAACAGGTGGACTTAAATACACAGGGAGGGTGATCAGGGAACGAGACACAGCTGGGATCAATCAACAGGAAAGACACAGAAACAACAGACTCAGGACAGAAAGTGAACACAGAAAAACCTTAAAATAAATACACAGAAACACGTTTCAGCCCCGCTATGAAGGCTAACTGAGATTCTGTAAATCTAAAAAATTTATTATTCTCCAGCATTGGCTAAGATTATCTGACACAAGATAATCTTAGCCATTATAAAATCTTAGCTATTATGAAACTTATAAATGTTATAACATTGACCAGCAAAGTTTACACAGGTGGTAAAGACTATTATTTATGTTCTTTCACTCTGTCAAAAGTAAGATACATCCTAAATCTTC